CTCATAATTCGAAAGGGGGCGCACCGGACCGCCCGAAGGAGGTGTCATCCGGCTGGTAATAGCTCTGATCTCGTTCCTCGTACACGGGGACACGGGATCGCGAAGCTGTGATTGTTTCAATTTCGTTGAAGATAGTGACAACTAACTTTAGGGTGGGCGCCGCGGCGCCGAGATGGGCCCCGCCAGCAGCCGCGAACAGATCGGGGAGCAGATCGGTGACGATGATGGCCTGCAGATCAAGGCGAAGCCTATGGCCAATAACGTCGTAAGTCTCTTTCATCTTCTTATCTATCGTCCTTCTTTTCACGTGCTTGTTTCCTAGTTTGTTAGTCTTTATGTCATGATTCAACTCATATCCGTATAGTAAGGCAGTGGAAAAATCATCGTAGAAAAAGCTCGAAGGAACCGAAGCGGTGTTTAAAACACGTGAAATGGGTGAGCCGAACGCTACGATTTGCTACTCTATTTTCGTCATAAAACAGAGACGTATTCGCGCATCTGCGCTAGAACTCCTTTCGTGACGAAACACACGGAACTGTTTAATTTAGAAAATAACCTCCGCTTGATCGTAACGAATTCCACGAAAATTTTGCGGTAAAAGAGATTTAAACCTTTCCGCTGATCTTTTATCCTTCTATTATCCTTCTATTATAGCGTTATTCGCATAGTTAAATCGCACTGATATTACATCGTTTTGATAGTCTGTAATATCGTGGCCACTATATGGGAGATGTTCGTCTAACCATGATATCTTGAGCATATTTGGAATATCGGGGCGTACACATAGCCAGGATTTTATACATATCGATAGATCAGTAGCAGCAGCAGCGCGTTCTGTATTCGTATCGCGAGATGTGTGCAAATCTAGTAGCGGAAGGAAGATGGTTGGTTTCGAGTGCAACAAAGAGAATGAGAAAAGGATAAGCGTATGCAGGAATAAATTGTAGAAACAAAGAGAGAGCATCCGACAAATCGAGTGATAGTATACACGGAGAACAGTTGACAAACAAAATGGAGTGAGATGGATATTTCATAGAGTGGGGAATCGGACAGACTTGACGACTGCGATGCGATAAGTCAGCCGGTGGTTGAGCAGCGCGCATTTTCATATCGCTTGTTTCCCATACCGCAGCTGGACGCTGTCCACTCAGGTGGCGCAAGACCTGCCATCTCTCTTTCCCTTTCTCTTTCTCACTCGCTTTCTCATTCACGACGGGGGTGTATTCATCTTCATTTAAATAGGACATTGCTGCCAGCATCTCGTGATGTCGCCTAAGAATAAGGTATGTAAGATTGATTCGTCTTTTAACGAAATGATTGTCTGCAAAAATGTTCATTTTATCGTCTTCGTTATTTGTATCGTATTTTGTCAATCGTAATTGTAGACGTCGTTATTATTGTATTAATTATTGTCGTTAAAATTTCACATCGAGATAAACAGATATATCTAATCGAAGTTCGATTATGCTTACGATGCATCGATGGCGTTCGGTGTAAACGGTAATCGTAACTTTCTTGTCCTTGAATCCAAACTACCGAATTTCAATGTAAACGGTATACCATGGTATGCCAGCACGTGGCCTAACTTAGGGAAGGTCGAAGCAATACTAATCGATTGTTTTGTTGGTTTAACGCGAAATTCAATTTAAATAAATAGCGGAACAGCGGCGACAGACGGTGGTGAACGTGTTCTCTACCTCGCGTGTATACAAATCGTTAATTGGCAAGTCTCACGGGGTGTTAGATTTTCGATAAATATCGTTGATCGTGATTACCACGGATTATGGCGGATTTAAATTCAAGTGACGAAATATACGACCCGATCGAGTTAATCACGATGCACATAAGTGAAAGTGTTCACTTCTATCTATATAAGACACCGGTAATACACATTTACAAATGGCCCATCGATATATTGCCGGTAACATTACAGAGACAGATTTCGCGTACGAGATTCTACGTTTGGGTGTAGTCTGTGGATGTTATTACTTTTTTTGCAGACATAGACCATATCACGTGCCAGTTTACAATGGATTGGTGTCGAGCCATGGATTAAGATGTATTTTATTACGTGCGAACATCTTATCTTTTGAGTGTTTGTTGAATTCGTTATCGTACTGTATCGATGTCGAGTATTTCCCTTATCCTTGGGCTATTCGGCCCAAGAGCGTTAGGTCGTAAGTAGGAAAACGTGTCCATGAATCTGATTGCTTCTATCGAAGGCCCTCTTGTTTAAATGAACATACTCCGACTCACGAATATATTTCAATACATACTACTAAAATCTTTTACGAATATAATACGTGTATTATTATATGACAAAACACTTTGAAACTTCATTAGCATTATCATAAGTCATGACTAAGTATACATATATACAAGTTATAAGATATTTATTCTGAACGTACACGTCACAGAGGTTACGAAAATATTTGAATAGTTGATTATTTAATGAAGCCATTTTCAACAGTATTCATATTGTACCAAATACAATATCTTACCGTATGCTATGTCTCATCTCATTGTCGATGAAGTTTCAAAACCTCTTGTATAACACGTATAATATATTCATAAATGTTCTCTATGATAAGCGAGTAAATACTTTCGTGAGTCATTGTAATCGACGCGAATAAATTGCTCTCAATAATTGATAAACGAATTTCTCACACTTGGGCTTTATTATTAATTTGCTAAGAGCGATTAAAAAGATCGATGAACATGATCGTGACAGTTAATTTTCATAATCATAGACGGAAGAAATAGGCGATTAACAATTGCGATTACAAACAGCAGCTAATTTCCCTATTTCCCTCGAGTCGATTAAGTACGATTAGGTTGGATTGCATCGTTTGTAATATCAATGATATCGACGTCTCTTTGAATTCGTAAAAACTGCTGTTCAGCAGTTCTACGACGCTCTAATCTTTTCAATAAATTTTCCGAACAGCTTATCGCGACATAATAAATACGCGCGGATAAAAGGAGAAAAAATATCAATCCGGTGAGGTTATGATAATTTAAAGCGTATACTCTTGTTAGACGATGTGATTCATTCAGCAAAGGGAACATGCTCTTCCTTTCTCGATTATTATGTTCATGCGTTTATCGCAACTCCTGGTATCTCGCGGTCCTAAGCAAACTGAGACAACGAAGAAGGGGCTAGCATCGTCGTAAACAATGGCCTGTTGCAAATCGAGAAAATATCATGATGTAGCTCTCATTTATGGTTTCTGAGTCATTTTAAGCTACTGCTGCCGTTAACATTTCCGAGAAGACGAGGACCAGATGTTCTCGCGATTATTTTAAATCATTGATGTTATCTGCGTTTCTGCACGTTTCGTGACGCCTTCGAAAGCTTTATAGTTGGAAGTTCGAAAGAAAGATGCGCGATCGTTGTTGTTCAAATCGATTGATTCGTAATTATTTCGAGCTCAATCTTATTTTAGGTTGAAACAAAGAAATTACGATAGTACTCGTCGGCTGACAAATCATTCGTATAATACATAGTTTGTTTCAGTAAATAGAATTCTTTCATCGCTATTATTTCGTCAAATATTACGAATTGACTGTATTTTATAAAACGGTATCGTGCCGTTGCTTCTGCCTGCTAATTTTTCAGCGGAGATCAGAAGCAGATGGTGTTTTCATGTATCGTGCCTTCAACACTAATTGTCGTTGGTTATTATCTAATTAATTCATAAATGTACTCGTGCGTAGAGACGAGCACACAGAACACCCAGTGGAATGTAGCATGTTGCAGCAGTAACTCTCGCGTGATCGACGTTATATACCAGTGGTACCATTCTCCTCCCATCTACCTATCCCTTTTATCGGTGCTGATTCTTCGAGTGTTTCCACCACTGTTATACATCGACTCGAGATCATCTTCAGAATGTTTACTTAGTGCCCTCCTGCCTCATCGCCCCGCCTCCTTTCGCCAGCTCTCTCATTTGTGTTCGCTGTAATTCGATTGTTTGGTGATTTTCGTGGAGACGGCCATCGTTAAATGGCAATCGATTAATCGAGATTTCATGTACATTGTCGATAATCTTGATAACACGACATATGATATATATATATATATTGGTAACCTCCTTTGCGTGCAAGATTAATTTCATGCAGTGTAAGCATCAACTTAGATTATTAGTGCGCGCGTCACGCTACGATATGATGGTCACTTTACGATGTACGATGTTTCCCGTATGGCTACAGTAGTGCCTCGCTAACTGGCCACGGGTTGGGACCTTATCTGTCCAGTTATTGAGGGAGGTATATTTTTACGAAATCTCGAGTATCTCTCTTCCTTGTTGAGTGCGAGATATTTTCGAACAGATGTTTGGAACAAAGAAAAGATAGAATTCAAGAGAATCAGACTGTTTAAGTAATTTTTCACATAGTGTACTACTTTAAATAAAATTCCAAAGACCTTGGTAATACTTCCTTGTAAACCAAATAAACTCTTACACATTTAGTTTAATAATATAAATAAGGAGTGTACACACACGCACACGCACAACACACACACACACACACACACACACACACACACACAAAATTTACAATTTGAAAATTGCTGATTCATTAATATTACTAATTAATATTATTAGTTTGTAAATTATTGTGCAAGAGAGTCCAGAGAGTCGCACTACGAAATCAGTTCGAAGAATTGGCCAGGGATAACAATGGCCAGCAAAATTCTGACCAGTTAACGCGACACTACTGTATTCAGCCGCTCGACCATGAACATGATTTCTCGAAGCCACCAGATAATAACACCGCATCGGGAACTGTCACTTTCTTCCTAAAGTACGAGATCGTTGCCAGCAAATATTTGTTTAGTGAGGTAACGTCTCGAAACAACTAACTCTAAAAATTGCATAAACCTCGGGTGACAAGGTAGGCTTGTCCCTCTACCCCTGATATTGAAAAAAGCTACTACAGCGCGTGGCTTACAAGATTAAATACGGACTAATGGCTAGCGTGGAACAATATGTCGAAACATTAAACGTAAGTTCAAAAGCTGCTGCTGTAGTTGCACGTTAGAGGAAATAACATGTCGATCTCTCCATTATTATGCCAAATGTGAATCATCCGCGCAGAGCTGAGTGACATTGAGCTGCAACGTGTTGGTTAGTCGGAGTTGCAATTCCTCCAATAATGCATCAAGTAGCCCTTGATACAAACATTGCCTCGTTGGACGGATATGAACAACGAAAAGGTTTTTGGCCTCGCGTGGAGCGCAGTGTCACAGAGCTGCTTATTTTTGTGCTCCTTTGTCGACCAAGCATATCTCGACTTTGTGAATGGAATGCAATACTTGACGAGTTTTTTTGTCGATTACAAAGATGCGTGGTTAGAGCAATTTCTTAGCTAGAAAAAATTTTAAATTTGTTTCAGTTCAATTTGAAATGTTTTATACTACAAATATTTTGAATGTCCTTTTTTTACGACAATTCTACGAAAAACTGTTATAGGCATAAAAATAAATGAAACGATAGATTCGTACTGTTTACATCATGATCACAGCTTCTTAATGCTTTATAGCTTTCATTTATGTAACACTTTCGTTAGGATACAAATCATCTTATATCAAATACACTTGACCATGCTATAGCTATATGGAAACGGCCGTTGAAATTTTTAAACCGATTCTCTGCCATTTTATTGTCTGTTTTTTCTTTGTCCTCTTCAAATATAACATCTTTCCTTAATTCTATATCGTTTAAGATTGCATCAACTGCTCGTACGGTTATTTGCAACATGGAGAAAAACAAGGAGAAAGTTTATAATTTAGTATGTAATTTGGTCGTTTTAAATACTATAACCGTTCTCGTATTGATTTTTTCTCCTTTAGGCGGATTTTGTATCGAACCGTTGCGCCTTGTATAAAGCGTATTTCCTATAGTGCAGAATATGTAAATTAGGTATTTTGCTTTAATTAAAACAAATCGCGATAGGTGAAAACTGCGTACGTGTGAAAATTCAAGGCTTCTTTTAGAATCATGAACGATGCAAATTCGAGTGTCGTCTGGTTGTCGCGCCACGTAATTGTGAGATAGGGAGGGGACGCGTGTGAGACGCTTCGCATTTATAGGTTAACTTTTCGCGCACAACCGATCAGTACCGCTTACCGCTTCAACGAGAGGTCCGTGTTCTTTCGTTGCCGTAAGCAGCTCTTTTGTCCGGCGGGTACTTAAATTTTCAACGGAGACTTGTGCTGTTTAGTCATTGGTGCATCGCGACTTCGCCTAGAACAAAACAGTGGTAAACAGAACAGTGCATTTGCACTGCACGCGTGTTCGTAATCGCCAAATCGACGATCGAGTGGTCGTATTATTGACACACCATTGCATGCTGTTCCGTCGCATTCAGCATTACATATTTTTACACTACACCAAAGATCATTTATCAAAGCCATTCACGATGACAGAAAAAAGAACGTTGTACGCGTAGAGAACAAAGTTACTTTGTTCGTGGACGTTGGAGGAAGAAAGGCTATAACTACGGTGTTTGTATATAAATAGATTCATCGTAGTGCGTAGTGATACGCAATAGTTATACGTGCAATAGTAGAAACCAGTCGTTTCTGCCGGCAAAATTGTCATGACAATTTGCGCGTGCCGTATTTACGAGGTATACAGTGTCATTTGGTTCGCGTGCATCCGATGTCTCGTGGCTAGAGCTTGTTGATGATCTGAGCTTGGCTGAGACGCGTCACCTCGCGCGTATATACGTTGTGTACAGTTGTCGTGCGCTGCAACGAGGGACAAGATAGAACGTGAACTCTCAATCTTTGCAAAAAAGTGTACTTTTTTAAGGGGCCGTTGCGCACTCTTTTTCCCGTTGAATAACCGTCAATCCGTTAATTGGTCTAAGGCGTGCGATATGGCAGTACAATAGAGAGTTGACACGGGAGCGCGTGAGTGTGAAAGACATGGCAGCGGATTTTGACGAGTGATACTGATACTACTACTCCTGTTATTCGCTAACAGGGGGAGTGTGTTAAAGTCGCGCGTAAGAGACGCAGCGTGGTAAAACCTTGCCACGGGATAAAGTCACGGGAAAGAAAGAACATACAACGCGCAGCTGCGCGCACTTCTACGAAAATAGAACTTTGCATAAGTGTGCAGAGGCCAACGGCGAAACGAGTGAAGTGTGACATTAAAGCGATCGTAGAATGTCGCGCGTGTCGCTCAACAAGTCGCAGTACAGCCAATACGGCTCGCGTCGCGTGCGAAAGATCAGTACGGTACGTTTCGAAGATTTGTCTCTATTTGGTAAAGCGCGTGCTACCACGTTTACGCGCCTCTTGCGTGATTCGATCTCTTCATTCTTGGGTGATCTGATTTGCCTCGAGTTTCGAGGCACTCTCGTTTCGTTTCGTTTCGTTTCGTTTCGTTTCGTTTCGTTTCGTTTCGTTCCGTTTTACATCGTTTCTCGTCGTAATTGCTTCGTTTGTTTGTCCAGTTTGGTTCGGGGACGACACGTGACTTAGCCTTGACAATCAACATAAATTACACTTTCGCACAGAAGGTTCTGACGAACACGAACCGAGTACGGCTGGCACACCATACACGCATATGTATACGTTGTCAGCACAGCCATGTACCTACTGCATGGCTGTGTGCACGATTTGCACCCGTTGCGAATGTGACACCGACCGCCACGAAAACAAGGTCGAAAACAATGATCTCGTCGAGCTTCGTTTGCCTTGACGTTAGGTGGCGCACACTTTGCCAATTCTAATGACAGTGGATCAGCTGATTGGGTTGACCTTCCATTCCGCTAAGCTAAGTCATTATTAAGCCTATCGATATGCGTGTCCTATGCTCTAGCGCTGTATTTAAATTCGTTTAATAATTTTAACATACTCGAGGTCATTGTACGGAACTATTTCGATCCTTCGACATTTCTATTAAAAAATTCCTTACAAATATTTCTTCTTATAACGTTGCTGCGATTCTCGAATTCTTATATTCCAATCTCACTCATGTTGAAGGACTTAAAATATCTTGAAGAAGGTGTTTTAAAAATACCATTGACGACTTTTTTATATTTTCCTCGAGGTGAAGAAACGATAGAAGGTCACGATTGAGTCGAAAATGACTCGAAGAATACAGCAGAATTAAGGAAGCATGAAATTACACTCATTTATGTGATCTGTATTATCTTCTCTAGTATTCTTAAAATTTCCTTATTTTAAGGAATTTTCGTTAAACATGATCGTTTTATCGCGTGATCAATATCGCTTCCTCTTTATTAGATTCAAAGGAAATGCTATTTTACCTTGGATAAACGTAGCCTTAGGGAATGGTTAAGTCACAGTAGCCATATCTATGCTTACGTTTGCGTTATGAGATCATCTTATAATACGGCCGCGCGTTCTCACATTACGCTCCAAAAGATATCTTCCGCAGTAGCGTGCTTTTCGATTTATTTCATTTCATTCTCATAATTTCATTTTATTTTCAACGGAGGAAAGTAATTTACACTCTTAAAACTGATGTCATAAAATCGTAGTTGAATCTGTATGATTTTCTGAAATCTATAAGTATTCTTATTTAACAATCTGTTAATCAGGCATGTATAGAAATATCTATAATCTGCCTATGTATTTATGCATTGGCATGAAATGAAGCTTTTCTTGCAGTATTCAAGGTGAACTGCCACTACTTTACTCAAGGCAAACACAAATATCAATGTTACAATGTAACAAGATTTAAAAACAAATATTCATTCAAATTTTCTAAGAAGGGTGAATTACTTTGTTGGAATAATGTTTGAGAAAATGTAGAAAAATAAGAAAATGTTAACTCTTTATGTATATCAGTTACAAATTTATCAATGTTGTTGTACCATTTTACAGACGGACAGTGAATATTCTGTAGAAGAGCATACAAGATTAACTGCCACTGATGGAGCTAGTGATGAAGCATCTCCAGAAGATGAAGGGGGTTCACTGTGCGAATACCACGATATACCACCTCCACCTGATGGTGGATATGGATGGGTGGTGGTATTTGCGTCATTCATGTGTAACATGATAGTAGACGGTATTGCTTATACATTTGGCGTTTTTCTGGGAGAATTTGTTACATATTTTGGAGAAGGAAAAGGAAAAACTGCATGGGTTGGCTCGTTGTTATCTGGCATGTACCTCAGTGCTGGTAAATTTCTTTATTATAAATATCATCTTTCTTTCAAGCGTAATAATGTCTTGGTTAAAAAGATTCAATCTATTTTTAGGACCTGTTGTCAGTGCTTTAACAAATAAGTATGGATGTAGGGCAGTATGTATGGCAGGAAGTTTTTTAGGTGCAGCAGCATTTGTACTTTCAACATTTTCAACCAGTGTAAATATGCTTATGATGACTTATGGTGTTATGGGAGGTGCGTATAGTAGGATTATAATCTGATTTACTTATTTACATTTCGATTATGCTATAATAATTATGCTGTTTCAGGAGTTGGATTTGGTCTAATATATTTACCAGCAGTAGTTTGCGTAGGTTATTATTTTGAAACTAAACGATCTCTAGCTACAGGCATTGCTGTATGTGGTTCAGGATTTGGCACATTTGCATTTCCACCTCTTGTAACAATGTTACTAGAAGCATATAATTGGAAAGGAGCAAATTTAATTCTGGCTGGTCTTATTTTAAATTGTGCTGTAAGTGTAGCTATTAGCTTTCTAAGACCTTTGGGAACATAGATCGTATATTTGATAACAACAACAGGAAAATTATAGGTTTTTGGTGCGATGATGAGGCCATTAGAATATCCAAAAGCTTCTTCTGTTAAACCATTATTACAAAGAATGGCGGAAGAAAAAAGATTTCAAATGGAACGTGGAAGTATCGGAGGTTCTTATTTTATGGTACAACTGCCTGATGGATCTATGGAGAAAAGAATGAAAATGCCTATTAACATTGATCCTGGTGTTCATTCCAGTTTCAATTTAGACCAATTAGTGCCTGGTAAGAAAATCTGTCTTAAAATGAACTATATCGATGATCGAACACCACCGTATTTTACGATGTACTTCATTTATTTGTAATATTAAAGGAACTCCTTTAACACCAGTTCCAACGGTGCCAACCCTGCCCACTATATCGGAGGTGAAAGTACAAGAACACTCTTCCAGTGGAGCAACTAGTAATAGTGGCAGTATGGACTTAAAGAGTATTTCCACTAAATCAAAAAGCAGAAAAAATATCGATGATACCAAAGATACAAAAGATATGTCAGAAAAGTCTGAAAGCGAATTCAAACCGATAATTCCTAGAAATGCTTCTCAACCTGCTTTTACAACTCACGTACAAGGTTTACCTAAAAATGGCTCTGTACCCTTTTTCGATCGAATCCGTAAAACTAGCACTAGCGAGAGATATAAACCAAGTCTTAGTGCGATTAAGAACTCTAGAACAACGTTGAATTCTAATGGCGATATTAGAAAGAGTTTGCACTTAAGACTTTCGACGAGCAGCGTTATGGGTTCTCGGAATAATAATGCAGAAATAGATGTAGTAAGTGTTTTAGCATGAGTTTCGAAAAATATACTTAATTACAAAAAAAGACTGTTAAGTTATACGATAAATGATACGTTTTACAGGATGGGGAAAGTATTACTTTTACTACCAGCAAATCTAGTATACCAAAAGAGAAACCACAAATTATTCGACCACTATCGCGGAAGGATATATTTTACAGTGGCAGTGTGGTTAATTTACCAGAATATCAGAGTCAAAAATCACTTGCAAATTATCGTCAAAGTGTTCTTTCACTATCAAAATCCGTACGTGGAGATGTTAAAGATACCGACATTGAAAAGGCGCCTCAACGTGAGTAATTCAAAAAAATACAAACATAACTATTCATAAACATTTATTAAAACATAGTAAATGTTACAGAACCTCTATGTCCCTGTTTGGTATTACCTGAATCGTTTAAAGAAGCTTTGTCAACGATGATGGATCTATCTTTACTAAAGGATCCAGTGTTTCTTTTAATTGGTATCAGTAATGTATTTGGAATGGCTGGATTATACGTTCCGTTTGTATATCTATTAGACGCTGCGGTCTTAGATGTAAGTTAAAGATTGTAGGATATTCTT